TGGCACGTCTAGTTTGGTTAATGAGCTTAATCTGACAGGTTGGACGAGTGAGAGTGAAATTAGAACCATCGCCGAGTGGACAAGTTGAGTCTCCTTTTGGATGGCGGCTCAACACCCTTTCTCCTTCAATCTATCAATTAAGTATAATTAGATCCTACTACCATCATTCCTCATATTCACCGTATTTCCTAAGCTATTAATTTCTATAGCCATGTCCAATTTCTACCATGTGTTCTGCCACTTCTGACCATTTGACCCAGCTTCCCTTGGAAGCATTTTCGCGCTCTCCCAATCTTTGTCGAATAGTTCGGCATATCTCACCAAAATAACATCGACCACATGAGCAAACAATTTTGTAGCAGCCGGATCTCGATAATGCGTTATATTTCTCTCTAAAAGATAGAATAGCAGAATAAAGTGTTAAACTTTCTTTGAACACTGTTTTTATCCCCAACTTTCTTACTATCTCGCTTATCTTTTTTGGGACACGATATGACTAGAAAATTAGGATATTGGGAAAGGTCTCAGTCTGTCTATCTTTGACTACTTTACAGAGATCTATCTATTTTGCCACAAATTGAGCTGTACTGAAGCTTTTTTAGATTAAAGTCTCTGATAATTTATTGGCATTGAAGCTATTAGGTTCGGTGAAGTGTTTGCTCGACACGACATCGAAATCCACTACAATGGCTGATCGAATACATGCCAAATCGAAATTGAGGTAGAATCTGGATAATAGTTACAAGAAAGAGTAAATTCAAGCTCATAATTTAGAACAGACCACCTTTATCCGGGCCTGTTTTAGACCAATTTACGTTTTGGTGATTGTGGGTCGAGAAGGCTAAAAGTGAATTTAATAAGAGGTAAAAAAATATCAGAAAGTGTTCGAGCACAAGCAAGCATTAAATATTTTAAAGTTTAAATCCAGGTCACTTCGCCTAGACAAGCATAATTTTACACTTGGATGGGTTTTACACAAAGGAGGACCACAAAGACCTGAATCAGAATGCCCAAGCGGCCATAAGTTAACATGAGACTTCGATTATTTTGTAGGACATCAAACCAAAATGGGTATAACAGCATCTAAACGGAAGAGTGTATCCATTCTCACACGTTGATAGTGTTGATAAAATGTACACTTCGACCAAATTAAAATGATGTCCTGGCGGTGGTACAGGAAAGACATTCACATTACAGTGGCAAGGTAAAGGGGGAGAAAACATAGATGTATATTTCTACATTCTTGCCTAAATTTCAGTCCAGGCGGATGTGTAAAAGAGAATTAAGAATGCGTGCCGAAGTAGTATTTTTTGTAAAAGGGAGGAAGGGTACCTAGGAGTACACTCGTAAAAATGCACAGCCGGAAGAAAAGAAGTGAACTATGTAAGGAAAAGCATTAATGAAGAACTATGATGCATGCTAAACACCATGCCTAATCATGTATGAGACATGATTAATGC